GTGAAACTTCTTTAGCTCCATCTGTAAACATAAATATACATACATATGTATACAATATATACATATATCATCATCATTATCAGCCCATATTAATGTCCCCACTGCTGGAGCACAGGCCTTCCCTATGGATGGAATAGGGAGATCGGCCATGTCCCACCACGCGGGCCCACTGCGGATTGGCGGGTGCTAAGGACTGCAGATGCAGCCGGGACCAACGGCTTAACGTACCTTCCGAAGCACGGAGGAACTCGAGATAGAAGATTTGTGGTCACCCATCCAATGACCGACCACTGCGAAAATTGCTTAACTTCAACGATCGCAGCCAAACGCGCTAACCACCTGCGCCATCAAGCTCCTCTCATCTATACATGTATATACACATACATATTTCATTTACTAGCTATAAGAGAAAGAGAGAAAGAAAACTCAACTCCCGTTCGTCTCGCCGGAACACACTTTTCGTAACGCGTAACGCATTCGCCATCTTACCCCCCAAGTCAAGTGTGGGTAAAGAAGTTTCACTTCAAAAAGTTAAATTTGTACAACACTGTATGAAATTGTTCTCTGAAAAGTTGAGTAGCTTTGATGATCTAATGATACTTGTCACTATAATCTAACAATATTTAAGCATTAAACCTTACTGGCACATAACACACTTACGTCAGATCCACACATACCTATCACTGATCCTTCAATAACTTATCTAACACAATAAATAACGTTAATAGCGCACTACAAACAAGAAGATATTCATAAATAACAGATAACTCGCGTTTATAAATATTTCGTACGTAGGGCGGGCGGGTTTATACGTCATACTTAACACTAATAATGTTTAGCATTTTGTTTTTAAGAAAATTTTACTTTTTAATTAAATTAAACGTGACCCAGGCAGCAGACGGGACTAAAACCCACCCTCTGAATTTTTCTAGTAAATTTTTCTTTATTTATTTATTTATTTGATGTACAAACAAGTGACAAACATTCAGTACTAAATTATATTTATTATCACACAAAATACGGATGTAACCCGTAATATGCTCATACTGAGTGACTAAATAATAATAACAGTGCTTGATATGCAAAGCTATAGCCAAATAATATAATATATATATACATATATTTATTAAATTAATTACTAGCAATAGTTTATATAATTGTAAATGTTACAAATTAGCAATTACATTCTTCTTAAATACTAAAGATCTACGATCAAATACATCTATTTCTGCTCCATTAACGACGAGTTCATTATATTGGCGACACATATATGATAGAGGGTTATAATAAGAAATTTTATTGATATATACAGGAAGAAAAAATGTCATAGGGTTTCTAAAGCGATAATTAATATTAAAACTAATATGGGACAGCAAGTAGGAAGAACCAAACTGAGAGTGAATAATTTTATGCAGATTCATTTCATCTAAATATTTCCTACGAAATATCAATGACTGCATACCATGTTTCAACAATCTGTCTTCATAAGTAAATTAAACCTTAAACAGACTAATTTCACAAAACACTTTTGTATTTGTTCGAGTCTGTTTATATTATGTGCAATGTAGTACGGTGACCAAATTACGGAATTGTATTCCAGCAAACTCCGTACAAGTGCATAATATAGTATTAAATACGATAAGATCTTTTTAAACGACTTCATGTTTTTGCACATGAAACCTAATATTTGAGATGACGTTTTTATTAACGTAATTACAAAACACTTATCAACATTCAATGACATGCGGTTCTCCTGAGACCATTGGGATAAAACACCTAGATCCCTTTGAAGACTCATTGCAACACTGATGCATGTTATTGTACTATACAGCTTTAAATCATCAGCACATAGAAGACATGGACGTGATAATCGACTAATAAGATCGTTGACAAACACTATGAACAGAAGAGGCCCTAAGTGTGAGCATTAAAAAATTAACATTTAGGGGGATGAAAAATAGATGATGTCCGATTCTCAGACCAACTGAATACGTATATAAAATTTGACAAAAATTTTCGGCCGTTAGCCGTTTCAGAGTAGTTCAATTACGCACACCGTGACATGAGAATTTATATATTATATATATTGAACGCTAAATAAACAAAATTCTAAAAAAGTAGGAAGCGGTTAGCGCGGTCGTGTAAAATTTGCCCATGGCTATGCAGTTCAGAAACTGTGCAAAGATTGTTGTTCGAATGTCGCATTATAAATAAAATAACGTTTTGATATATTTTTTTACTGTCATAGGGAGACGAGAATAGTTATTAACGTCTGTTTTACAGACGCCATGTCATCTTTATTTTATGTGTTACCACGCGGGCTCAGTGCGGATTGGCGGGTGCTTACGACTGCAGATGCAGCCGGGACCAACGGCTTAACGTGCCTTCCGAAGCACGGAGGAACTCGAGATAGAAGATTTTTGGTCATCCATCCAATGATCGACCAGTGCGAAAGTTGCTTAACTTTAACGATCGCAGCCGAACGCACTAACCTGCGCCATCGAGCTCCTCATTAATGTGCCAAAATTGCGAATACGTGACGAGACAATTGTAATTTTCACACAGTGAAAAAACTTTCTTAAATTTGAACGCTTATCTGGGGGCCATTCGCCTAACTGGATTGCTATGGCTATCGCTTCCGATTACATTTTGTTATTTCTTAACCGCCGAAGGATTTCCCTGGGCAAGTTATCTTCGTCTTAAAGAAGACCACAATAAAATAATTATTACCTTTGGTGGTGTTATTTTCCTGTTAGTTAGGTTCTAAGAATAACTGTAGTAAGAGATTGATTTAGTTAGGCCATAAAGGATGAAGCGACACATTTTTCTTTAAAATGCAATTGTATTTTTTTTTGTTTTTTTGTTTTTATATAGAGGTAGGTAAATGACTCTACCCCACCTGATGTTAAGTGGTAATAAAGTCCAAACGCGAAGATAGCTGGTACAGCAGTTATAAACTGCTACACCAATCATCCTCACCTTGCCGGCCTGCAAAATGCTTCTTCACGCCTCTCTTAAAGGACCCCAGATCGCGGGCAAAAAATTCCACTTACGAATAGTACGACAAAGGAATGAGTCACCAAATTTCTTTGTTCGTGTAGGAATAGTGGCCACAGTAAGTCGGTGGCAACGTAGACCAGCGCGCGTGGTCCTCTGAAGAAAAGGTGATGGAGGAATAAGGGAGAATTACTCCTCAGAACACTCGCCGTGGTATAGTCGGTAGAATGCGCTTAATGATGCCACATCGCGGCGTAATTGTAGATATATTATCATAATATAATAATATTTCCTACACTTACACCAATTAGCCTAGCCCCTAAGTAAGCACTGTAAGGCTTGTGCTATATAATGCGCAACATAGAAAATATATATTTAATACATGTATAAGTAAATTTATATAGAAATATATAATGACTAAAGTACACACATCAAAAGTGTCTAGGGATCAAGCATTTTTATGCGGATTTCTTGAGATTGAGATGTGGCTTTGTAATAAATTTATGATTTTATAAATTTATATGGATCCTTTTTGGTGCATTTCATAATTTGAATCAGGAACTGTGAATCAAATTCGAGTAAAAGATGAAAATCAGCTGTCAATATTTTCCCTATAAAAACATACAACGCATTGAAGACATTATTAGTGCTACTGTTTCCCTACTACTGATTAAAACCAACGTTATTATGGAGCGGCGACGTCATTTAAGCAGGGAAGAAATGCTCAGAGCCGTGGGAATGATAGAAGCTGGTTCCCGGCAACGTACTGTGGCTTTAGCTCTGAATACAAGTCAGAATGTTATCAGTCGACTTTGGACACGATACCGAAGCACTGGTACCGTGGCTGAGCGCCATGGAGGACGGTATCGCTGCACCACACGGAGACAAGACCGATACATTCAAATCTTAACTCGAAGAGCTCCAACAATAACCGCCATGATGTTAGCCGTGAGGCTTCATCACTCTTCAGGGAACTTAATTAGCGACCAAACAGTCAGAAACCGCTTGCATGAAGTGAACCTTCATTCCCGAAGACCGCTACGGGTACCACCTATAGCAATGCACAATCGTAGGATTCGATATCAATGGGCTCTTGAACACAGAAATTGGGCAGAAGAACAATGGCGTTTCGTGTGCTTTTCTGATGAGTCTCGTTTTGGTATGAGACCGGATACAAGACGTATACGACACTGGAGAACCCCTGGACGCCAACAGCGATTAAAATCCTGCCAGGAAGTCCATCCTTATAGTGGTGGAACCATCAAGGTATGGGCGGGTATTTGGATCGGCGGAAGAACTGAGTTGATTTGGATCAGAGGCAACCTCAACGCTCAAATTTATGCTGAGACGATTGTATCAGACGTCATCGTTCCTCTACAAGTGCAAATCGGTCCCTTATTTCAGTTAATGCATGATAATGCACGACCGCACACCGCAAGAGTTGTAAGACAGACTCTCGCCGCAGCTAACATCAATGTCCTGCCCTGGCCTGCTCAGTCGCCAGACTTGAACCCGATTGAGCATGCATGGGATATGCTACAGAGAAGAGCTCTGCCGAATATGGAGGGTATCCAGTCGCAAGAAGACCTTTTTTTGTTGTTGCAACGAACATGGGCGGCCATTCCACAGCGTGATTTGGATGAACTCATTTTGAGTATGCCAAACCGATGTTCTTGTGTTGTTAGTGTTCGCGGTAGAAATACGGATTATTAATTGTTTAAGTTACCCAATAAAATTTTAGAGAAAACTGTTATTTCAGTCTTTTTTTCGAACTTTTGTGTTAGTGGTTCAAATGTCAAAAATCCCTTTATTAGGAAAATGGCAAATTTCTTTATTAATGCAAAGGTGACTTGGTTTATCGTTACTGTGACAAACGAAAACACTTTATTTGATGAATCCTTAAAGAAAATTTTAATTAATATCAATCAGGAGAAAAGTTATTGCAAAAATATATGTTGATCCCTAGACACTTTTGATGTGTGTATCTCAATCTTGTCCAACAGATGCATGAATGTGGGGAAAATAAACTTCCGAGAGAAGGAGAAGCAGATCCTGGACCAGATCTTGGGCCCCGGCCGCTACGACGCCCGCATCCGGCCGTCCGGCATCAACGGCACTGGTGAGTACGCCACTTACACGCCTAAGCCACGCCATTCACCAGAAAAGCATAATCTGTTTTAAGGTGCCCATTCACGGCAGGCCGCCTTGCCGTCCGCCGCTTGGCTGAGACTAAAATGACGTCACTTGCTTGTAAACATGATGTCAAAGGGATATTAGGTACTTCGTATTGTGTACAGGTGAGGTTACACGGCTGTCATTAAAACGCCAAGTTTTTAATGAGAGCCGTGTGACGTCAGGTGCCTGTAAGATGCTATATTTGCTAAAGAAACGTTTCCGCGGCTTGAAGGATTGTGAATTTTGTCGGAGTCTGCGTGGCGTCTAGCAACACCGAGCAGGATACGTCTTCAGCCCTGCACGGCGGACTGTTATGCAGGATCGTGAATGGGCCCCTTTAAACTTTCATGGTCACTAACACCTTAATATATTTTGTTACTAGCGAGATCGCTTCCATGTACCTTGTTTTATGATAGTCCCCGATATTTCGGCACTGTTGCAAGCGCCATGGTCACGGAGTAACTGATTCGCAAAAAATATAATAACAAAAAATATTATAATCAAATAAGCATAATCTGTATTACTGAAATCTATAAAACGCACAGTTTACCGAAAGCTTTTATTCACAGAATAGGTATTTTTATGCAACCCAAGATCATTAACATCAGGTACAGTAATTTGCCTATCTAACTTTAATAAAGGTCCGTAAAGACAAATGACACGAAGATGATTCTATTTTTTAAGTGTTACAAACTAATAATAGTAACAATTAACAGGATTTATTTATTTATATAACAGTTGCTAAACTAACAACGACTACTGTCAGTGACCATGTTCTAACCTTTTTTTTTTTTTTTTTTTACTTTGGGAAATCCATCATGGATACCCCCCGCCGAGAGGGAGACGGGGGGTTATGCCGGACTCCTACCGGCTAAAACCCCAAGATGTTCCGTAGTCACGCATATGGGCGAGTAAAACCGTGAGATCTGGCGTTACCAATTTCTACCACGGCCCCGCCCTGCGATGTCCTTGCGGACCCCTCTTTAAAGGAGCTGAAGCTCCCTCCGTCGACGAGGGCGCGCCGGAACATTGACGCACCCGAACACCCCGAAAGCCCTGACCATGTTCTAACCTAACCTAACCAAGACGTACTTAGACAAACCATAACCTAACTTTTATGACTAGCAAAATATCACGGCATTTTATATAGAAAAAGTAAATATAAAAAAAAAGACGGCACAATGTATTTTCAGTAATCTGTGGGACGCACAGACAATGGTGCGTTTTGCCTTACTGTGAAAAAGAGGGTGATAATATAAGTCACATAGATTAAATAACATATTGATTATGATTTATCGGGCATTGAATATCGTAACTTTCTGTTTCTTTTGTTTTGCCTGGTTAGACGAGAAACCAAATATACCTCTTACGATCCCGAACTCTCAGTAGGAGGACAATGGTGTCGATTCTAGCGTGATTCTCTAAACTTAAAACTAAATTTACAATCTGTCTCTCCTATTCATTCCGTATAGAGAATGACAAGGATACACTGTTGTCAAATTTAAGTTTAGATTTAGAGAATCGTGCCAGAATCGACACCATTGTGTTACCACGATTGCTGAAGCTGTGCCTTTCAAATTTCTAGGTAGAAAGATTTATTATGAAGGTCGTACTCCATCCTAAGAGGCAATTGTCGATAATTTTCTAAATGACTTAAATAAGGTAGATCAACAACCATTAAGCAATATTAAAGAAGTTTGGATGTACGACAACTATCTTACGTCACGTTTGACTTGGCCTTTCCTTTCATATTACATTGGTAAAACCGTTACCAACGAATAAACCAAAAATGCCTATCTAGCTCTTTTATATGCGGTAGAAGTAGAAGCGAGAAGTATACCAGCAAAATCCCTTTAAAACAACCTAAAAGACCTCGACCTGTCGAGAACTTCAGTAAGTTAAATTGTGGAATATGTAACTTAGGCTGCACTAACAGCTCCTATCAAATTTGGCTAGGAAGGGCAGCAACTAAAGCAAGCACACGCAGTCAAGATGAGCGTTGTTGCGCATCACATCCTTTAAACCTACACCTGGTTCGCAAGTCCCGGAAACTGCTGAGAGTTTCTCTCTCCCCCACACGATAGACCCGTACGGTGTGTAGGAAGGTCAAAAGGGAAGATTTTCTCTGAGCTGGATGATGGTAGCTTGGGGGAAGATTTTCCACCGAGCTGGATGATGGTAACATTAGTCGGGCATTGTATATATGAACTGTTGGCCGCCGAATTTCACTTGTGCGATGTAGGCTTCCATACTATTTGAGTGCAGCGCCGGTAGCGCCATCTCTTGAAGAGGCGAGTGATTAATTCCTCTATGTTGGTTATATGTGGGGCATATATATGTCGCCGCCACAGGTGATCCATGGATTGCTAAGAAGTTCGTCTCATCCATCTAGAGAGACCCCAAAGCAAATTTTTAAATTATAGAAATTCATGGAGTACGCTAGGCTGTACGCCACCGTCGTATATATACGACAATAATAGTACGCGAAGTCAAAAACCCTCCGTTACGCAAACGACAATACTGTTTTTTAAAGGAAAAGCAACAGTGTAGGTTATTTACTTCTTGCTTTCTAAAATAAAAAAATATATATAGTTGTGCCAACAGGTCATTGGCATGTTGTAAGAATAAGCATGTTAAAAATACCCACTGACAATAACGTAAAATATTCTTACACCCACCATTGTATGTTTAACGAGATAAAATAACGGGAAATATTTGAATGATCCACGAAAAATAATAATAAATGAATACCTAAAAATACAATGGTATCGATTCTGGCATGATTCTCTAAAGCTAAACTTAAATTTGACAACAGTGCTGTCGATTCTGGCATAATTCTCTAAACTTAAAACTAAATTAAACATCAGTCTCTCCTTTTCATTCTATATAGATAATGTCAAGGATACACTGTTGTCAAATTTAAGTTTACTTTTAGAGAATAATGCCAGAATCGACACCACTGTATCACTGTCATTCACTATACAGAATGAAAAGGACAGACTGATGTTAAATTTAGTTTTAAGTTTAGAGAATCCTGCCAGAATCGACACCAATGTAACCTTAAGGTTAGGTTTGGTTGCTAATTTATATTTCGATAATCATTCAATTACTATGTTTCTATGATCATTTAAATGTGAGCCTAAAATAACTCAGTAAAACAATATTTTCTCGCGCACAAATACAGATTCCGATCTTAAGCGATCTCAACCGATAAAATTAGAATTAGGTTCGCGTCGAAAGGTGTAAATCGCGCTAGGCTTGAAATAGTTTAAAAAAAATATATGTACCTACTTTGTGATGGACAGGCGGTTTTAAACAGAAGCGATGAGATAATTAAAAGTCATAAATATAAAGAATGGAATAAAAGTTCCCTGTCTGAATGTAAATTAAAACCGGACAGATCAGTGTGAGAGAGACGAAACCATCATGCGGCCAATGGTTCGTATGGACCAATCATTCTCAACCTTTTTGACCTTTTAGTGATTAGGGATCATTTATCAAAATGTCTTGCTAAGAACCACCAATTATTTGCAGGGGTGTATTATAATATCTTCTTACGATTTGCATCCTCCCCCCAACCCCCTCAGGTTCGAGTGGTCCAGAGGCTCCAGGCGGAGAGGAGACTCCTCCTGTGGGGAGATATCATCCGCCTGGAATACCTCTAGAGGCACTCGCCATTTCTTGGCTTGAGGATCTCGCCGTCCCCAAACCCGTTGACGCTGTAAAGGTCATTTGCGACCAACAGCAAACATACTCAAAAAAAGAACCCTCCCCCTAGAATTGAGTCGTATAGTATCAAAGGCGGCAAAGTAGGGCGAACCAAATATTTGGCAAATCAAAGAAAACTGTTTAGTCTCGTCTTTAAGGGAGGATAAAATATTGACATTTCACTACGATTTGTAGTTATGATGAATGTCAATTATAAAAATCCTCCCTTAAAGACGAGACTAAACAGTTTCTTTTGATTTGCCAAATATTTGGTTCGCCCTACTTTGCCGCCTTTGATACTATACGACTCAATTATTAAATCAAATCAAAATATAGGTCAATAACGAATACCTTTCTATGGTTTGTGCTACCCTAGGCTATGGCCTTCTTGGCCCTAGGGACGTCTCTGATTGATTGGAGGTAACATGCGTGCATTCTTATTTATCTAATATTTATTGGAATGGTTTCGCGGACTACTTCGGTTGTTTCTAGGGACCACTTCGGGTTCTTCAGGGACCACCGGTTAAGGACGAGCGTATAGATATTAGCTGCACCATCTTGGCACCATCACTATCTGTCTTTCTTAAGAATTGTTTATTCCTCTCTCTCTAAACTTATACTTTTTGAACTATGGAGAGTACTCTCCACTTTTTTTTTCATTTATTGGGGTCAAACAAACAGTTTCACAATATATATTAGTTCTTATTATATGTGAAATTTATCTTAATAATTGTGAAACCAACGCCGTTAACCACAATTTAATATCTTAATTGAGAGTTTTCAAGAAAAGAGAATAAATGTAATAATCTTATGCTGTCTAGTCAAGATCTAAGGGGCCGTTCAAGTATTACGTAAGCACTATAGGGGGGCAGGGGGTCTTTGCTTTGCTTATTTTTGATGACATGGGGGGGGGGGGGGGGGGTCAAAATACCGATTAGGTCAGCATCATGGATTCTGGTGTCATGGACAGAAGATTTTTAATTGGAATTAATATGTATACCAAAAATTCGAAAGAAGTTTGTTTTGTTCCTAATAGTACTTAATAAGATTTTAATATTTGTACCTTACTACCATAATATGTTGAATAATGGTGTCGATTTTAGCATGATTCTCTAAACCTAAACTTAAATTTGACAGCAGTATATCTTTGTCATTCTCTATACAGAATGAAAAGGAGAGACTCATGTTAAATTTAGTTTTTAATTTAGAGAATCACGCCAGAATTGGGCCCAGTGT